GAATTAGAGCTAAACCAAGTAAAGAAAAATCAAAACCATCATAAATCAGTCAAATATTAAATAGATAAAAAATAAAATATTTTTTAAAAACCTAACAAAATTTAGCACAAATGTTATGATTATGGAGATATTTTCCCACTGTTTGCAAAACCTGCTAGGTCGACATGGACCTGACCAGGTTACTTGGAGCCGGCCACTTGTTAGGGTGGTCAAGACCACCCTAACTTAAAAAACAAATTAAAAGAAATTACAAAAAAATTACTATAATAGGTTTTAAATGGTTTTTATTATTTTCAAAAAATTGAAAAGTATTTTAACTATAAATATTTATTTTTATATTTTTCGATTTTTTAATTAATTCAAAAACTACTCCTAGTTACATTTTTTTTTTTTGGGTAAGTCAGCGCCACATATAAACCCGTCAAACAATTGCCTAATATATCGTCAACCGTCCATTGCCCACAATAAACAGTTGGGAAGATTCTTTTACCCTTAAGCCAGTAAATTTATTTGACAACGTTCGAGCTTCGAACGACACCTCTTGTCGACATCTACAAGCCCAAGAGATGCCAGCAAACTTTCACAAAAACATTCTACAACAACAAACTGGTTGAAGCAACTCAAATTCAAATTATTGGGCAAGATTTAACACTTTTCTCTCTCGCTCTCTTTCTGGCCGATACTTGGTGGCTTAAGGGCATAACTTTTTGTGTTTCCATCACCCAATAATTTTTTAGCGTATTGGTTAGGTACCTAACATTTTGGTATTAGAGCAACCACTACGACCCAGGTTAAAATCCTAAAAAAATGCTACCTATGAAAAAGGTTACCTATAGAAAAGGCTACCTGAATAAAACCAGCCGCCATAGAGTAAGAGCCACCATAGAGTGAGAGCCGCTGAAGACATCGATCATAGGAAATGGCTACTTATGGAAAGGGCTACCCAAACAGAGTAAGAACCACCATAGAATGAGAGCCACCATAAACCACCATAAAGTGAGAACTGTCGATGACATTGACTACGGAGTGTGGTGATATATAACATCCTAGGTGATTTAAGGGTCTGACTTTCCGCATTTCCCTCTCCCAAGGTTTTTGGGACGTATTGGTTAGGTACCTAACAGCCAAGAGACCAAAGGTGTTAACTTACAAAAACTAATGCGCAATCTTTATCAAGAAGCAATTTCCCCTTTCGTTTTATGGGGGAGACCCTTCAAGACAGAAATTTATCAATCTCTAGAAACCAAAAGAGATGGGACCCCTCAAGCCGAGAGATAACAAACACTACCACAGGAGCATATCTTCCCCGTAGGTACCTGAAATATAACATCATAAGATTGAAGAAAAAGCATTCAGATGGTAATCTAGGTTTCTAATAACAAAATCTCTTTTTTCTTCGAAAGTACTCTTGATGATTCTAAAATGAATCTCAAAATTTCAGATTTAGAGGAACCTCGCAAGTAGATCTTTTGCCAAAAATACCAAGTGTATAATAATGTGCCCTGGCATGTACGATATGGTCGCTCCCTTAAAATCGACGCACACTCTTGTTATGACCACAAACATAACATGTGTTATCCCATAAAAAGCAAGACAGGATAGTCATGACACTGGTGTATGGTCATAAGGACATCCACCATTGAAGGCCAGACGGCACTGTAATGATATGGGTGCATTGTCATGTGGACATCCACGATCCGTTCCAAATGATGGGCAGGAGAGATGAACCATATCGGGCTGAATGTTCCATTACATGCCTATAGTTTAACTCTAACACCATTCATAAACTGGAAGAAGGGATGGTGATGATACCTATCAAACATACCATTTGTAATATACAATGTCATATTTTGTGACACCTACCAAAAAATAGATCTCTAAGATCAATAAGAAGACAGTAGAGAAAGCAAAAGATGACAGATTTTACCCTTTCAAAACATTCTCATTCCGCAATTTACAAAACCATGGCTCATAAACCATACTGATCCTATAACTTCCCTCAATACTTCAATCAACAAAACAAAAGTAAAGATACATGAAGACTATATCAGTTACCCAAAAGACACAGATCATATTGTGTATCTGATTTGATACTTCCGTAGCCACTCCTCGCCCTTCTCCATATAATCCTGCCTACTAAACACCTGCTCTGAAAAACTAGGCGAAGCAGCAATCATCGAGGCCCCATGCCAAGCATCCAAAAGAGGATCAGATGCCCTACAAACTCTAATGCTCGAACCAAATGGCCGGATTTTCTGAATTCCAGTGAGAATTCGTTCATTAATTCCTGGGAAAAGGCAGTTCCCTCCAGTTAATAGAACAGAGTTGCAAAGGTTTTCTCCATGTGATAATAATTCCGGCTTTAGCCTTCTCATTGAGATCCCAACCATTTCATCAAGGCCAGCTTGGTCGATTCCCACAATGTGGGGTTGGAAAAGGATTTCCGGGCACCTGAATCTCTCGATCCCAAGGGTAATACGGTAATCTTCAGCTGTTAGTGGCCGGAAATGAGGGGTTTCTGATCCATTTCCAGTCGCCGGAGGACTGGGTTCAACCAATGTTACAAAGGTAGGGTCTATTTCCTGTCATGGTCAAGTAACAGGTATTAATCATGCGAGCCAATTTTGAGGATGGGGAAGTGTACCAAACTCCAACAGTACTATGGCACATAGTAGTACAAAACTATATGCATGGTCCAATTCCACTAATGGATTGTTAAACAATGAGTAAACCTGCAGTGTTAAAATCAACTTCATGACACATCCATCCAATTAAATTTCCTAAACGACATGTAGGATTATATAATTAATTTACAAGATAAACAGAAAATCACTTAAGATTTATACGACTCTTTAGTCTCCTCAAATGCCCTAACATTTTTTGTCCTCTAATATAATCACCAAGCTTTCCAAGTTCAGTAAATAATTGGTTTTTTAATTTAGCGTCACAAATTAGCTGGAAGTTATGTAGAGAGAGATGCTTGAAAAGCTTTTATAGGACAAAAAAGAAAAAATAAAAACTTATCAGAATAGAAGTATGACATTCTATAGTCTTGTCATATTAAAAGCATGATCTCAAACCAAGATTCAAAGACACACAAAAGGTTTGGCAAGTTCATATGCCCTATATACTTATAAGTTTAAACTACATATTAGTGGGATTGCTAGTTACATCATATTTTGCAAAAGTACAGAGTTAAAACAGTGGTCAAACTTAGCAATCCCCAACTTATTTGTGAAATGATCATCTTTGGAGCTTTGCATTTCATAATTAGGAATGGAAATACATTTTCCGGCTATTGTAAGGATTTTTGACACCAGAATTGCACCTTCTAGCATGATCAAAGGTCTGCCTCACTTTGATTGTTTGAGGTTGAGGCCTTAAATAAATTGTACCAACTAAAATACTCATAATTTGGGTCCTAAAAAATGAGGTTTCTAAAATACTCCCAGACTGGGTTATAACCAAGGGAGTAAATGGACCATAGTTACCCGAATCGATTCAAAAACCGAATTGATTTAGGAATCAGAAGCGTGGAATCGCCGCCAGTTGGTCATGTTTACAGTATCGACGTCCATACAAGAAGAATCGTGGGGGACGAGAATCCTAATTTTAAGAATAGAGACTCGACCAAAATAGAATCGAGATCCCTGATGAAATTGAGTTCCTAGCCCTTTGGAATCAAGTTTCCAACCTAGTTGGAATTGACAAATAGGGAATCGAGATTCCTTCATTTATAGAATTGAGATTCTGATATATTTGGAATAAAGAGGAAACTGAGAAGGAAACAATCCACGTCTTAATGTCATTCATTGACCGACATACCATACATGCCCATTTACGCCTTAAATTATTTATATCTTGGAGTGGCAATCAATCCATTGGATCAATACAATGCATATTTAAATAATTAAGTAGACAACATGGACCACCACTTTGGTTTATATTGGTCATTTTCATGCCAAAAAAGATTCTATAAGTATTGGAATCAAGATTCCTAAAATAAAGAATTGAGATTTCAGACTTCACAGAAATGGGTTCAATGAAGATTCTTACTTGGAGTCGCCGAATCGGGGTTCCAAATCGGAATCGCGACCTTTGATGAGAGATTCGGGTAATTATGAAATGGACAGCATATGCTCCAGTGGGAGCTTAGAATATGTATATACATTCTATGAGAGATTCGGTTGCCATGTCTAGCAATCTGCCTGATCCTTTTGAAGGAAAAAAGATATAATTAACCTTTACGACTCAAGGAAAAGAACTAGACAAAAAGTAACTTTTATCAGCAATTAATTTTTATTTACATTTGTACTCCGTCATATTTGAACTCACTGCTACCCATATAGTCGTCCAACACTTCACCAAACTCATCCCTTTTCCCCATACTCTAACTTCCCACCAACAAGATCAATGGGGAGAGAGAGGCGACCCATCTATTAGTTTTTTTTGGGGAGGGGGTGGGAGAGAGGGGTGGCCCATCTACCCTTTCTTTTGCTGTGTAAGAGAGATACTGAGAGAGAGAGAGCAGCATCTACCCATTTACTATTACTATTATTTTTAAAACAAAACCGGCTAGGAGGTTTGGAACGCGTTGAAGGTTCTAAAAGGGCAACAGAAGGCTCAAAAGGACATGGATGGAAGTAGTGAGAAGAGATATAGTGACTTATGGTCTAGTAGAGGGTCTGGCCCTTAATAGAATGGAATGGCCGAACATGATTGGTATGGCCGACCTCAAATAGTTGGGATAAGGCAAGGATTACCTACATACATATAGGAAAAGTATTTCATGAGACCATTTATCTTTGGTACGAGATAGTCACAATTAATCTTGACCATTGAATGTGAAATTAGCTGAACGCATTTATTTCATTGACCAAGCTCAAACTTCAAAAGAAATTTTCTCGAACTTTGTGACACACCCATACTATCGGATGGTCACATCAGATAGTTGTAAGTAATCGTGACCTCCTCGTATCAAAAGTAAATGATCTTGTTCCTTCCTTGACTGAACTGGCTCCACTGACTCCCTCTCTGCCTTGGTGCGTGATTGGCTGGCCAAAACTTGCTTGACTTGCGGGCTTGCTTTGCTTGCTAGCTTCTACTTGGTCTCTTTTCTAACAAGGATCCACGCTTTTCCTGTCTAACAACTGGACTTGGTCAACTTAGCCTTCTGTTCCAACTCGGGCGATTCCATTTAATCTTCCAACAAGGGGAGAAAAGGCCAAGGGCGAGATGGTTCTCACTCGTTTTTAAAGAGTAAGATGACAAACCCAAACTCATAGAGAGCCAAACTAGAAACTTATATACTTATCTATGAAGAGAAGAAACCATAGATACCGAAATCTCTCCATCGACCTCGTGTTTCTAGTTCCAAAACCCGATTCCGTGTTTCCGTTAAGGAATCCCCACAAAAACCGTTTTTCGAAACCAAAAAAACTAGATTCCTTAATTTCGAAATCTCAATTCGACACATCTTAGACACCATTTTTTGGAATCAATGAAAGTCGATTCTGAATTTCGGAATCTCGATTCAATACATCTTTAGAAACCATTTATCAGAACCAAGGAAGCTCGATTCCTTAATTTCAGAATCTCAATCCAACACATCTTTAGAACCTTGAACCCATTAATTGTGGGTAGACGTTTCCAAATATATCGAATCTGAATTCCAGCGAGATTTAAATCTTGATTCCATGTCAATTGGAGTAGAAATCTTCCTTCGAATGCTTCTAGTAGTTGCAGGGTTTCATTATTTTACTTGTGCCACCCTAGACGACATTTACTTTAAATTTAAAATAATTGGTAAATACAAAACATACAATTAAAAGTAAAACCATGGCGTAGACAAAATCCTATTTTGTATTTATAGTAATGAAGTTTAAATCACAATTTATAGTAATAAGAGACATCCAATATAGATTCTAAAGTTGATGAGGCTCAAGATGTGCTTGTGGCTTCCTTCTCCATAAAAATGAAATCTTGATTCCCGGTAGGGATCGTCAAAAGCATTCCACAGTCCATGTTATTGTAAATCTTGATCTCAAACTGGCATGGATCTCTGATCCATGTACTTCATAAACTTGATTCCAAATATGTTAGAATCACGATTCGAAACAACAACATATCTATGTTCCACAAATGTCAGAAACTCAATTCCAAAGACGTCAGAAACTCGATTCCGTCTATTAAGGAATCTTGACTCCTGGGGTGTCGATTCTAGGGGGATGGGAATCTCGATTCCAAGGAGGACGGAATCTCGATTCCATATGTGGAAGAAACTTGGATCTATTTTGATCGAAACATGATTCTCAAAAACTAGGAATCTCGTTCCCCATGATTCCTATTGTACGGACAACGATTCCTAAGACATGAATCTTCTAGCTAGCCATGATTCAGCGATTCCGGTTCCTAAAACGATTCAAGTTCCCAAGCGTTTCCAACAACTATGGAAAAAACCCAACTTTATTAGATAGTATACTGTAAATTTTTTCTTGTTATTTTCTATGTAAACTTTATTATGTGAAATAATGTCTTATTGTTAAACTTAAATTAACAATGTGAATTTGAATTTTGAACATATTTTTATTTTTATCACTAAAAGGTTTAATTTTTAGAATTCATATTATCATATAAAGCATATGACCTTTGGTGGTGGCACTGGTTTTAAAGCAAGAGGTCATGAGTTTAACTCTTGTTGAACATTTTTTGCCTTTATAAGCTAGGACACTCAATTTTATAGTGTCTAAACAAAAGTTTTTGGGATCATGAGTGAATTAGGAGTGCGATGGGGATTAGAAGGGGGGAATCGAAGCTAGAAGATCCCTATGGTTGGGAGCATTATCCGTACAATGCATAGGTGTTAGGGATCGAGATCTCTAAATTCTAGGGATCTCAATTCCAACCCTTTGGGGATATCGATCCTGACCTTTTGGGATCTCAATCCCTACCTTTTAGGGATCTAACACCGAAGCTTAAAGAGGACATATCGTCTAGGACTATACATACTCTTTAAATTCGTGATCTCTTTGTTTGTAGTCAGCAAGCAATGCAAATATATTAAGAGTATTAGTTGCATTGCCAGCTGGCACGAATATCATAATTTTGGTGGTTATCCGGATCGAGATCCCTAATAGTAGGGTTTGAGATTTGAGTTCCCAAAATTTTAAAATCATGATTCTTCAAAGATCCCTTTAGGGGGATCGAGTTCCTGAAATTTTAAAATCGGGATCCTTCAAAGTTCTAAATATTTCTATGGCGGTAGGCAATTCCAACACTGCCCATACGAGTGTCCCCTCATTTCTATGAGTGTGCATCATGTCAAAAAGGTGAAACTTGTCAATAAATGAAACTTGGACAACTTTGAAGTGTCTTGGTAACATAGGTCAGTATGTATTGAAGTGTCGACATGCGACAACAGCCCCAACCTAGGATGTTGGTGTAAAAGGTTGGGCCCACAAGGAGATTTGCAGGGATACGAGTTATTCTCCAACCACCAAATGGTGGGAATGGACAATTAATGTATTGTTGGAGTATCACAGATCATAGTCCATTAGGAGGCCGTGGTACTCTTCCACCATAAAGAAATTTTTGGGTTTCATAACATATTGGCAAGGAACCCATTACCGATTTAGAGGGGGGGACAGAATATTTATTAGTTCTAGAAACAAGGCTGAAAGGGGAAAACAAAAGGTAGATTTTGAAATGAAAGAAAGCCAAGTTTTGGTTATTATAATATAGAATATATCCAAATCCCATTTGATCTCAGGTCAAATCTGGAAAGCTTTAAGCCATTATGCATGCAGAGTACAGGAGCCCACAGTGATTTTGTTTCAATATCTGATCCAAATAAATGGATCACATTTAAAGGTGTTGACTGGAAGGAGTGTCTGGTAGTTACTTTGACATATAGAAAGTTGAGAGGAATTTACTAATTTACTCGGGTTCTCCTTGATTGAAGGGTATGCCCATATCAAGAGCATCTCAAATTAAAAATGAAGACAAAATATCATGTTTAGCTTAATACACATCCCGTTTGGAAAAGGAGGTCAAGGTTTCGAACCCTTTATGTTTCTCCCAAGCAAACAAACAAGCTGACCCACCCTTCTTTTTCCAACAAAAAATTTGATACTGTTCAAAACTTTCAAAGGCCATACCAAAAGTTGTTCAGTAAATGTCATTCCTAAGCACTTGAAACCTCAGAAAAAGATTAAAGAAACCATTTTCCACATTTCGAAAAAGGATAATTAAAACTATATTGTATTACATTAATATTAGAGATCATCATCATCCGAGCCTTATCCCAACTATTTGGGGTCAGCTATACAAATATTGTTTCTCCATTCAGCTCTATCAAAGGTCCCCTACCCTCCGCCAGACAATAAGTCACTATATCTCTTCTCACTACTTACATCCATGTCGTTTTGAGCCTTCCCTTGCTCTTTTATAGCCTTCCACTCGGATTAAATTACTCATCCTAAATGGTGTTGTTCTAGGTCGATGTTGCATATGGCCAGACCACCTATGTCTAGTTTCCTTCGTCTTACCACCTTATGGAGCTACCCCTAAGTTCCCTCAGATGTGTTCACTCTGAATTCTATCATTTTTTTTCCTGTCACTCATCCATCTCAACATTTTCATGCCTGCGACACTCATTCTATAGATATTTTGATTCTTGACCACCCAGCATTCTGTCTGATAAAGCATGGTTGGTCTTACAACCGTCATACAAAACTTCCCCTTCAGTTTCATTTGTATGTGACGATCACATAAAACTCCAAAAGCACATCTCCACTTTGTCCACCTAGCTCTAATTTTATGCATGACATCTTCCTCAATTTCTCAATTCTCATGGATTATCGACCTAAGATATTGAAAATAATATCTTTTAGGTGCGTCTTGACCATCAATCTTAATTAATTCCTTGTTTCAACTCCTATTATTACTCAATGAGTAAATGTGCATTCCATATATTCTTAGTCTAGCTAATATTAAAGCCTTGAGATTCTAAAACATCCCTCCAATAACTTTGTGTTGATCCATCAATTGTATCATCAATCAAAGCTATGTCATCCACAAAAAACAAACCTCACGGTAGCTCATCTTGTAGACACTTAATTAACTCGTCTATAACCAAAGAAAGAGATATGGGCTCAAAACTGACCACTGATATAGGCCTACTATCATTGAAAATTTACTTCTCTCTGGTAGTTGTCCTCACACTAGTTGATGCTACCTTGTACATAACCCTCACCATCTTAATATATCATCTAGAGACTTCACTCTTTTCCAACACCTACCAAATTAATTCTCTAGGTACCCTATTGTGAGCTTTCTTTAAATAAATAAAGACAACATGGAGTTCTTTTCTCTTCTCCCAAAACTTCTCAAACAATTGCGTAAGTAATAAAATAGCCTCAAGGGTTGACCTCCTTAGCATAAATCCGAACTAATTTTCGGATATACTCGTTTCATGTCTTAGTCGTTGCTCAATTACTCTCTCCTACAGTCTCATAGTGTGACTCATTAGTCTCTCCCATGCACTTTCAAACCTCTATTGGTATACGATATGGTCTTAAAGTCTTTTCTATCTTCATCTTTCTCAAAGCTTCTTTCATTTCAGATATCCTAATCCTACGAATATTTATGACATCCAACCTTAATCATAGATATCCTTTAAAACCCAAAAAAATTATAGAATTAAAATAAAGAGTGAATGTACTTCGTAGTCCAATGGACTACGGTATGTGGTACTCCAAGGTTATATCCACCATCCATTCCCATAGCCAGATGGTTGGAGAATAACTAGAATGCACCCACTGGGACATTCACCAGAATAAATTAATCTCCAACCATCGATCGTTAGGGACATGGGGCATTCATAGCTTGAAACACCATATCCATGGTCTACTGGACTAAAGACTTCAGGAAATATAGGACCACAGCCCAAGGTAAAAACATGAATACCTGAAGCTTTGCAGTGACCCTAGCCAGTTCAGCTTCATCTTCATTGGGTCCCTCATCATTGTCATCATTATCCCTGCTCATCAATTTGTAGAGTTGCCAATCCTCATCCTTGATTCCAAAGGTGTCCTCACCCTTTCCTCGATCAAAGGCAGCAGTTGTTAAAAGGCGCATCCTTTCCTTTTGTGCAGCATTGAGTCTCTCACCTCTGCCAACATTCCCAGACAAAACTGGGGTTCCGTTCCCACGAGTACCATTTGTCTTCAACTTCTTCCGCTGCTCCACTCTCTGAGCAAGTTCTCTCTGTTTAGCTCTCAGCTGCTCCAGATAAAGCTCTGGATTCTCCCTGTTAATAGACAAAGCATGGGGTGAGTGCTAGGGAAATTTCATCAAACAACTAAAATATGCCTGATCAATGCAATAAAAGAATCTTTCCAATATTTCAACACTACAAAAAATAAACAACAATTTGGAATACAGGCTGTCGTATCAATAAACAGCTGAAATGGCAAATATACATGAGCTCTATAGAAATATTATCTACAGGGAGTGTGTAGTATGATTCATATGGCCATGATATATCACCTTCACATCCATGGATTGGACAGTGGAGGGAGAGAGGGCTGAGAGCCCATCAAACATGTCAGCAATTTTTTTGTATATCTACTGTCCTTCCACCACTGTCCAACCCTAAAACTGGATGATGATCACCCTTGTGACCACGGTGTTATCAGATGGTGTTATCAGGCATATGGATCACACTCTACTTTTATATGTGCCTTTCAAAAAAGAGAAGAAAAGACGACTATACAGTTTTTCAAGAACAAGATGAACATTAGATTTAGAGAGCCCAAGAATAACATACAAACGCTTCTCCTCATCTTGTTGATTCTGCCTTTCTCTTTCCAATTCTTCCTCCTGCTTTTTCTGTTTCGCTCTCAGCTTACCCTCAGACGTTGTCTTGATGAATATCTGTCTCTTCTTCTGCTTTAACTGCAAAACAGAACACCCAGAATCAGTATGATATTGATGCACAAAAATTTGTAGCCAGAAATACTGCAATAGCAAAGAATAAAAAAATTATGTGCAACAAGTGAAAGGGAAGACCCAGTATGTGATTGACTAAGATTAGCCAAATATTTAAGCAACATTGAATAAGGATTATAAGCAACCAGAGAATATTAATGACGAAGCATCACATCCTGAAAATTCACATAAATAGTAAGCAAGTCACTATTGTTTGCAAAAAGTTAGGAGGAATCCACCTGCTCTGGAGTCAACATGTGGTCCGGTATATTAATGAGGGGATACTTCTCACTAGATGGGGACTCAGTTTTCTCCTCAACTTCAACCGGCTCACCCTTGGCTTTTCTTAAAGATTGTGTAACCCTTGCCACAGCAGACTCTATTTCTTGCTTAGAGACATAGCCTGTTTCTGACAAGAAAAATGGGATCTCATGGTCCTCAACATTTTCCAGCTGTTGCAGAAGAAATTCCAGTCCTTGCAGTTCATTTTCGAACTCAGTTATTCTTGAAGACCTCTTAGCAGCAGCCATTTCACGTAGTCGTTGGCCTTGCTTTTCCTTAATTGCTGCCTTTCTTGCCAGCTCTTCTTCAGATGGCTCCTCTTCTACCGGAGGAGGTCTATAAGGAAGCTGCCAATATCTGACTTTCTCGTCAGTTTCTTTGGCCCCTTTCTGCCATGCAAAGAGGGTCCCATGTGAGAAATTCTTGTGAGAGAAATAAGAAAATGAAACATTCAAGCAATAATATATACACAAACAACAACTAAAAATCCCTTTGGAGACATCCAAGAGAATAGCACTCAGCAATATTACCATCAAAACCTTTGTTATATTGCTGCATTATTGGGAGAGTTCTACCAACTTAATAGCACAAAGGTAACAGCATAGGATTGGGAGAAGCAGATATGAAGCAAACATGCCTTACAGTATATCAGCAAATTTATTCACTGGAAACTGTTGTCATGAACAAGTCATGACCTTCATGACACATCAATTAAGCCAGAGAAGGACCTTCAGATGACTATAACACTAGATTAGGCATCAATTGAAGCTCTAAGGTTGGTTGTCACTTGGTTCCATTCTTCCAATACCTTCATAAGGACTGCAGTTTTATGCTGCCTCTTTTGTTACAAGCAGTGGTTTACTGCGTTCATGTACATTTATGATATGCAACTTATAGATATAAACAAATGAGATATTGAAATGTTAAAAAAACATGATGGTAAAGAACACAAATCTAAGTTTTCAATGCATCGTCTAGCATGTCATGGAATGGTTTGAGAGAGAATCTCATCCATCATATAACTTTACCTTTCATGTAAACTACCTCTTCATCTGGTTTAACAGATCCAGTGAGTTTGCAAGCAAAAGAGAAAAGGGGATCCAAATGATTGCCTCTCTTTTTTTCTTTTTCTTTTTTGGTTTAGGTGTGGCAGAGCCAATGTGTGTGTGATGGGGGTTGAGGGTGTGGATGGGGCAGGAGGGAAAGGATGCTTAAGCAGATAGTCAAACTCCAGACCACCATAGTACTCCAGCATAATGCCCTAAACAAGACTACCAAGTGAAAAGGCTGGACTCCATGATTTGGAAATCAGTAATGACAAAACAAATCAATTCCAGGTGCTAGATATTCAGCATATGATATATAATGAGAAGAAGCATATCTCCTTCATGGACTCTTCTTGTACTCCGTAAATAACTAGGTATTAGTTAGTTATGAACTAGTAAATGGTATTTATAAACTTGAAGATAGGTTATTTCTAGCACTTCAATGTTCTAATGATCCTCGTATAGCTTAAAAACAAAAGGTTGTGAGAAAGAAGGGAATACTTCCACCACATGGATTTTGTTTTCATCTATTGTGATCCCCATTTGCAGTATATCATAGCCTAAAGACAAAAACACTGGCATATTGAGAAACACAATACATCAATTAAATGCATGTGCACATACACATAAAACATATATAAGAGAAAACCAGAGTTCATTTTTTTTGTGGAAAGTGATAAATTCTATCAACCTGGAACAACTGGGATTCTGAGGCATAGTCCAGAGCAATATAGCAGTGCTCCATCTTCAGGTGTTCAACTTTTTCCCATGCAAAGCTGGACCTATAAATGCACGCAATTGACAGTAAACCCATCTGCATGATTTAACCTGATAACAGAATAACAGAAAGAAAGCAATAGTAGCATGCTTACACATGATAAGGGTACTGTAGGGAAAGAAGCTGTTTCATATAGTCAGTGACATGGTATCCACCAATATTGGTTCTGCAACTTGCTTCGAAAACAGGTTCACCATGTAAAATCTGTACATGGATGATAGTCATGAGGATAGGGAATATATAACAAGGAACATCACAGTGAACAATAAAAAATATGACATAAAAAATCGTTTCAAATGTTGTCGTAGGTTTTAAAATAGCTTAAAATTCAAACCACGAAATTAGATCCATGAATAACAATACATAGAAAATGAAACCAAAGAAATGTTTATCCATGTCGGTCATAATTGTTCAGGGGTGTATTTGTAATTTTGTATACTGCTGCAACTTACTCTTCAATTTGTAGTTCATGTTTACTATAAAGGACAAATATGTAATTTCCATTTATATCTGTACCCTTATCTAACGTTCAATTAATTAGAGTTAGAAACAATATGATTATACAACTTTGAGTGCCATCCCTCACTCATGAGTCAAATCACTCTTCTCTTGGCTCCTCTCCATCTCTACCTGAACTACAACTTGTTTTTCTCTCTCAAGTATTCAAGGCGATATTTAACATCGTATCAGATAATAGTTCAACCATTAACGTGAACCATTTTCAAAGGGAACAAAATCTCTCTATTAACTCTTTTCTTTGTCAGTCATTATTATACAACCCATGTTATGGTCAATATTGGCGAGTGAAACCCTATTTCTGTCCCCTTAACTTGAAATTCTAGATCTAATTCTTTGTCGTAACCATACATCTATTCTCCCTAGTTATCAATTGATCTCATTATAGCCATGGTGTCAAATCCTAGGCATAAAACCCTAGATCTCTCTTATCCCTAAATCTCTTCTTCCCTCTAGATCTTTTCTTTACACAAAATTTGTTATTTTGACATGAACAATAAAACTTAGTTGCTGTTGAAATTTGAACAATAAATTCTTTCTTTCAAAACAAAACCTTATTTCCATTCTCTTCTTACTCATTTGATTGCATGGAATCTTCTAGTCTCCTTAAAACTTTCTTCCAATTTTAATGTATGGAAAGAAGTTAGGATTCCTTTCATCATAAATGATTGATTGATCACATTGATGCATGGTGCAAGGCACCACCATAGTTCATCACCAAAGAGGAAGTGAGTATAGAAGGAAAGAGAAAAAGGTTGTAACCCTTAACCCTGAATATATGATAGGTTTGTCAAGGATCAAGGATTAATTAAGTAGATTAATTTTAAATTGTCAGAAGATATATTGGTGGAAGTGTTTGATATAGACACTACTGAAAAATTGCCAAAAGAATCACAAAACTCAAGCCTAGCAGCCATCAGGCTAGTCTAATGCAGTTGAGGCAGGAACTTTTTGAGTTACAAAGAAGAAGATAATCCATATCTGAGTACCTGGCCAAAATCAAAGGAATATGTGATCAGCTTGCTATATTCAACATCCCTTTTGTGGTAGTGATGAAGTGTGCATTGCTGTGAAGGGTTTTGGAGATCAAAATGAGACTTTTGTTACTAATGTTATCTCAAGACCATCATATGCTAAATTTGTAGAATTGCATCCTCTACCTCTTCAGCATGACGCCATGTTCCCTAATAAATTGCAGCATAGCGATCAAGTCCAAATTCTTAGATGTTTTATTTATCAACAATAACTATTCATCTCCTAGGAATGGTTTTCGTGGAGGTAGAGGTAGAGGAAGAAATGATAGAGGAGACCTGGTTGTCATAGTAGAGGTAGATTTTTCAGAAACACTGTTGGGTGTGGCATCCTATCTGCACCTAACAATGATACAAATGGGAGTTCTAATCATGCGAATAGTGGGATAATGTGTCAGATATGTGGAAGGCGTAAACACTTGGCTGCTAATTGTTATAATGGATATGATGGAAACTCAGGTCCACGATATGGAAGGAACCAGCATACAGCTCTAAATATATTTGTTGATAAGGCTGTGCGTCATGAAAGTGGAGCTCATACTGTTGGAGGACAGCTGGCTGCATTGAATAATATACGGAGAATCTCGCCATTACATCTCCATCTGAAGCTGCATGGCCACGGATCATTAACAGTGGAGCAGCCAACCATTTGACAGGAAATTCAAGAATGTTCTCTTCCCTTGTCCCGTACTCAGATAGTGGGTCTATATATAACTGGGGAGGGTCCTCTCACCAGATTACACAACTTAGGAATGTCACCATTCAGTCTTCTAAAGGTTCTATACATCCCAAAAATGTTTTCCTTGTCCCTAATTTTAAACATAATTTTATTTACGCATCACAGTTGGCTAGAGAAAATCATGTCTTCTTTGTATTTACTCCCGATTGTGTTTTACTGAAAGACTGGCTAACAGGGCCCACATTCACTAGCGGTTCTTGGCATCGAAGTTGTACAGTTGACGATGTCGAAGAAGTTGAAAACCCAAGTCATGTCTTGTCGTGTTAACAAGGATGCCAATGTGGTGGCATCATAGATTGGGTCACCGTAATATGGAGTCTCTACATAAGTTGTGTAACCAAGGGCTTCTTTCCTCGAATATTGATCATCCCAGTGAGTTTATTTGTCGTGGTTGCCGACTAAGAAAACATGTCAAGTTGTCATTTGTTCATATTTCTTAATCATAAAAGAGCTTCTTCTCCCTTTGAGTCCATCCATTTTGATGTATAAGGTCCAGCTCCAACCGCATCTCCTTCCAATTTCCGTTACCATGATATGTGCCGATGACCTCTCTAATTAAGTAGTGCATGTTTTGGATATTTTCCCTACGTAAACAATTTTTTCATTTACGGTCGATATCTTTTGGATCCTTTCTTGAACGCTATGGAAAAAAAAGTTTGTACATCAGTTGGAAGTCTATTTATCAAGAAGGTAGCTGTATGGAAAGCTTCACTCCATAAAAACTTTGGAACTCCAGTAGAAAATATCAGTGGTAATCCAACTTCATTTATTTGTGTACGTTTCCTTTCTGCCACTGTTTTTTCTTGTGGAGTATAAGGACAAGAAATTTATTGCTCCATCCCATTGTCCCACAGGTAATTTTTAAACATTTGAGATGAGTACTCTCCCCCTCGGTCACTATGGAAGTACAAAATTTGCTGGTGGAAGTGCTTTCAGCAAACTACTTGAAATGCCTAGATGTCTTAAATGCATGAGATTTTTTATTAAGAAAGAAATTCATGTAAAAAATTGATCCAATGGCAGAAAATATGTATTTTTATGGGATACTCAAATGATCATAAAGGCTATAGATCTTGCTGTCCTCGAACAAATGGAACTTTTATTTCTAGGCATGTAACGTTTAGCGAGTTGAAAATATTTACTCCAAAGAATTATTTTGCAGATGAAAGTCCATAGCCAAAGGAAAGAGACAAACACAAGAATGACATTGAACTAGTCTTCATAAGTTGACATCAGACGGAGAAATTTGTTGAAGACGATGTTGGGAAAGATGGAGATGATGAAGACATTGTTCCTTGTAATCCAAGGAAAGATTTTATGTCGTTCTTTGAGGATGACCAGCAAAGGGACCAAGGTAGGGGCTCAACACAAACGGTCCACATGAAGTCATTGTGTACAAAAGTAGAGCTAAGACAGGGCAGCAAGTAAGCACATCAGAAAGACAAGCAAAGAACACATAAACCAGCCCATAGATCATCTAAATCAGACCATGTTAAAACACTCTAGTTGATGCAAATGTTGAGGCCACATCAATGAGGAGGTCGGCTCACATTAAATTTTTTATTGAAATATGGATAAGCTATGAGGTTGCAGTCATGAATATCAAGTATTCTTGAGCAACATCCTTAAGATCAAAGAGTTATCAACATACTTGAGGCAACAAAGAATAAGAGGTGGATTGAAGCTACACAAGAAGTCAGGCCATGCATGTCAATAATATATGGGAGATTGTTAAAAGACCAGAAGATAAAAACATGGTAGGTTACAAATGGGTGTATAAGGTGAAATATAAATCAGATGGAAGTATGGAGAGATTCAAGGCAAAGTTGGTAGATAAATGATTTAATCAACAAGGACTTGATTATGAAGAAACCTGCATTCTAGTTGTTAAGATTGTGACACTATAGCCTTGGCCTATGATTGGCCACTCTTCTAGCTGGGTGTAACGGATGCAACATTCTTCATGAGGAGTTAAGAGAGGATGTTTATATGGAGCAACCACCGGGATTTAGTGAAGCGTATTCAAAAGAGTATGTATGTAAATTGAATTGTACAATTCATGGATTGAAGAAAGCATGAAGAACGTGGTTTCAAAGAGGACTTTTAAGAGAGCAACAGTTGACCATGTCCTATTCCTCCAATGAAGTAACACAGGTATTGTAGTTGGTTATATGTGTTGATTGCCGATGTGAAGAGATTTTCTTAATGATAAAATCCAAATGAACGATTTGGGAGAACTAAGGCATTTTCTAAGCATAGAAGTAGATCAGTTGCCTCAAAAGAACCTTGCCTCAGATTTGTTATAAAATAATTAATATGATGAATTATAAGCCTTTAGGAACACCTGTTGCTATGAATTAAGACTGAGCAAGGATGAAGGAGAATTGTTAAGAGAACCAGAGTACATGAGTATTTAACACTAACACGAATAGACATATCATATGCGGTGAATCAGAGTTCAATTTATTTATCTACCCACTTCACCTCAATGTACGCCTTATGAGACTGATCAGATACATTAAAGGAACAATGAGCCATGGCATAGTCCATCCAAAAATGAAGTGAAGAATTGGAAAATTGCATCAATAATATTCAGATGTTGATTGGGATGCTGATCTAAATTCAAGAACGTTAGTCTCCAAAGTTTGCTTTTATCTTGGGATAAACTTGATATCATAACGAAGTAAGAAACAGAAGACTGTGGCCAGGTCATATCAGGCGATAGGAAGTATTGTTATCGGGGATGTCATGGATCTGCAATTTGATGAATATTGGGCACAAAAATTCAAAGATCCAGTGTTTTGAATACCAAGAGTGCCTTAGCCTTGGGCAGCAAATCCAACGTTTCATGATAGCTCTAGACATATTCCAGTTGATTATCACTTCATGCGGGAAAGGATTGAAGCCAAAGAAATTGA